ATTTATTTTAATAAAATAGGCATAACTATGGTAGAGGGTCACTCAAAGCAAAAGGATTTTAGTTTAAAGTCCAAGAAAGTTAAAAGTCTGAAATGGGTTTCAGCTCTGACTTTGAACCAGTTTGGTAGAATGATCCAAACAGTGTAGGATCTAAACAGTAAATGCTGTAACCACAGCCATTCTTGACCATTTGTAGACCCTAAGCAACACTCTACTCTGGGACCCACCCCAATCATCTTCTTTTATGTGCAAGAATAGAAAAAAAATCAAACTTATTCAAATTCATTTTTTCTACTGACAGTATTGAATAAGTGCAAGTTTAAATATATGCTCCTGGGCCCTGGTGGTCTAGCAGGTGGCGTATAGTAAGAAACAGCACTGACTGTGACACTTAGTGACTCAAAGGGAAATTCCACAGATGTAAACAAAGTCATTCAGAGTGGTTTGGTGTGAAACGCTCTGTTCTAGAGAAACTTACAGAGTCAGAACTGTTCACAGTGGTGGTGATAGGAACCAGACGTCCACCTCTAAAAGCTCCCTCACAGGAAGTTACTACATGAAATGGTTATGAACTCACTGAGACTCTGTTTTACGATAGTCCTGAAATAAGATTTTGGCCTAAAACTCCACTCATGGTGGAGGGACACGTGCAGGGCGTTGTAGGGCAAAAATAGTCCCCAAAAAAGACTTATTTTTTCAGATTGATCACTATTTCACCATCATCAACATCACATATAAAACTCAGAAGACTCATGTAGGTTCACTGGTGGTTCTGGATAGTAAATAAAATGTCTATATTTGTGTTGTAGTCATGGCGACCCCTGGTTCCTATCACCACCACTGTAAAGACATCTCAACCATTTCACACCAAACCACTGTGAACCTCTCTGCTTACATCTCAGCCACTGAATTATGCAGACAGTCAGTGTGACACTGTAGTTTAATGTGATATATATTTCTGAATGTTAATGTGTCCAAAAACAACTTTAGAAAACTAATTTTAATCCCTTAAATGGTCAGAAGCCGACCGGCTTGCGTCCCTCACACATATGACTTAAGAATAATTCACTTTGCCTTGTTTTCCATTTTGTGATTGGATAATAAGCCTTAATGTGCCATAAGGCAGTTTAAGAGATTGATTTTAGTATTTTTATACAGTCTGTCAATGTTATTTATTTTGTAGTATTCATTTCATTCTGACCACCTCCTTGTTTCTGCGCTCATTGTCCATTTTATCAGCTCCACTTACTATATAGGTGCACTTTGTAGTTCTACAGTTACAGACTGTAGTCCATCTGTTTCTCTGCATACTTAATATAGCAATATAGCAATAATATAGCAAATATTTCAATTTTATTGAAGTTTAAAAACTCACTGTATTAGGATCTAAACTGTGTCCTGAATATTGAGTGTAGCTGCTTACAGAACTGAGATGAGCCGAAATATTAACTGAGCATAAATACAACACTGATAATACTATTCTACTTTAGTGTTAAGCTAACAAGTAAGTTCTATATAGAACCATTTCATGCTTAAGTGGTTCTTTGCATGGTGAAATTGTTCATCAGATTGATGGAGAATGTGTTGTATATGGTTCTATAGAGATCCTTTTTGAAAATGGTTCTATATAGCACCAAAAGGGGTTCTTTTCAGCGTGTAATAATACAAGAACCCTTTGTGTCTATAGAACCTTATACAACACATTCTATATCAATCTGAAGAGCCTTTTCACCATGCCAAGAACCACTTAAGCATGAAATGGTTCTTTGAGTGGTTCTATTTAGAACCATTGTCTTCACTAAAGAACCCTTGATGACCTATCTTTTTAAGAGTGTGGTTCTTTGCCCAGTGAAAAGGTTCTTCAGACTGATATAGAATGTGTTGTATATGCTTCATTATAGAACCAAAAAGGGTTCTTCTGTTGTTACAAGCTTGATGTCAGAGCAATAGAAGAACCCTTTTTGGTGCTATATAGAACCATATACAACACATTCTCCATCAGTCTGGATAACCATTTCACCATGCAAAGAACCACTTAAGTGTGCAAATGGTTCTTTGAGAGTTCATGGTTCTATATAGAACCATTGTCTTCACTAAAGAACCCTTAAAGGAACACTTTAAGAGTATGGTTCTTTACATGGTGAAACAGTTCTTCACATAGATGGAGAATATGTTGTATATTATCCTGTGTAGAACCAAAAATGGTTCTGCTATTGTTATAAGCTCGACATCATAACAATAGCAGAACCCTTTTTGGTTCTTGAGTTTTTAAACACTGTGTCCACTCACTGTCCACTCTATTAGACACTCCTACCTTGTCAGTCCACCTCGTAGATGTGAAGTCAGAGACGATGGCTCATCTGCTGCTGCACAGTGTGTGTTGGTCATCCTCTAGTCCTTCATCAGTGGTCACAGGACGCTGCCCACAGGACGCTGTTGGCTGGATATTTTTGGTTGGTGGACTATTCTCAGTCCAGCAGTGACACTGAGGTGTTTAAAAACTCCAGCAGCACTGCTGTGTCTGATCCACTCGCACCAGCACAACACACACTAACACACCACCACCACATCAGTGTCACTGCAGTGCTGAGAATGATCCACCACCCAAATAGTACCTGCTCTGTGAGGGTCCATGGGGGTCCTGACCACTGAAGAACAGGGTAAAAGGGGGCTAACAAAGTGTGCAGAGAAACAGATGGACTACAGTCTGTAACTGTAGAACTACAAAGTGCACCTATATAGTAAGTGGAGCTGATAAAATGGACAATGAGCGTAGAAACAAGGAGGTGGTCAGAATGTTATGCCTGATTGGTGTATGTGATCCATTCTGATGGTTCTATATTTTCTCAGAGAGGTAAAACTCTGTTTCCTTTAGTCGTTTATTCCTGAGTAAGGCAGTTATAATGTTAGAAACGGGCTGCTTACTGCGGTAATTAATGATGGGCTCGATCATGGAGCTGCACTGCGATATTCAGCCGGCAGATGGCGCTGCTTACGTTCAAGCCCGGCGGTGCGTGACTGTCCACAACAGATTATGTAACGGTTAGTGTGTAACTTTGAGCAAGTGTAATCTTTACACGGTGTGTGTGTGTGTGTGTGTGTGTGTGTGTGTGTGTGTGTGTGTCCTTCGACGTGCAATAGCATCTCTTCTCTCAATCCAGAATACAACGCCTAGTTAGTGCAAAGTCTCGGATACTCCCTCTAATATGGCTGTGTTTCACCAAGACAGGCTGTGTCTACTGTTTTAATCGCTCACTGGTCAGAGCAGCTACTATTACTACTATACTACTATTCCTCCCACTTTAATATTCTTAAAGGGGAATCCCACCGATTTTTTAAAATTTCTGCGTAATTCAGTGGTTGAGATGTAAACAAGGCCATTCAGTGTGGTGTGGTGTGAATTAACTCATTGTACAGGCTGACTTCTTTACAGGACCCAGAGGTCGTGATGTCTACAACACAAATATAGCCATTTTATTCACTATTCAAAAGCACCAGTGAACCTACACGTGTCTTCTAAGTTTGTATATGTAATGCTGATGATGGTGAAATAGTCCTAAATCTGAAAAAAAAGAAGTTTCCTTTGGGGACTATTTTGCCTCACAACGCTCTGCATGTACAGCTCCTCTATGAATAGATTGAAATAAATGGATTCTAGGCCAAAACTTTATCATGAAACTACCATAAAACAGTGTCTCAGTCATCAGGCAGTGAATTCATAACCATTTCATGTAATAACTTTCTGTGAGGGAGCTTTTAGAGGTGGCCGTCTGGTTCCTATCACCACCCATGTGAACAGTTGACTCGGCAAGTTTCTCTAGAACGGAGTACTTCGCACCAAACCACTCTGAATGACTTTGTTTACATCTTAGCCATTTAATTATGCAGCAATTTTGAAAATTCGCTGGAGTTCCCCTTTAAAAACAGACTTTTAATACAGCTAATTCTGGTACTACACTTGTTTTTTTAAAGCCAGCATCTAAAGGCTAAGTCAAATACTACATTTGCTGATCTTAGCCTGGGAGAAATCACTTCACGTTCTTGTTTTAGCGCGTAAAATCATTTAAAATGATGTTATTTTAATACAGATATAGACGCGCGCAGTGTGATCGCTCACTACTCCTCACCACAGCCAGCTCGGGGTGAAGCGAGTCCAAGCCCCGCCCCCTCCGGCCAGCTGGTGGCAACATGCGTGATGACTTCACCGCTCTGCGAGCTGATTGGCTGGCGGACGCGTCCCGCCTCGCCAATCGCAGGCCGGCGAGGTGACGTCAACAACGAACTCCCGGCTAAGACCGTCCGTAAGGGGGCGGGGCGAAGAGGCGCCTACGTCGGCGGACGAGTGAATCGGGCGGCCGTGATTGGCTGCGATCGGATCCGAGGCGAGGGTCTGTTGCTGAGAGAAAAGAGAGCGAGAGTAGAAAGAAAAAAACAGCGAAGGAGGGGAACGGGTGCACCGACTCTCGGCGGCTCTGCTGCTTCGCTCAAAGCCGAGCGTAGTAGTTTTAGACGTGAGGGCCGTCCCTCCGCGCTGATTTATATCTTTTCCCTCTATCTGCCCCTCTCCTTTTCTTTCTCTCTCTCTCTCTCTTTCTCTCTGTCTTTCCACGCATATCTTTCTTTTTTTTTTACCGCTTTTACAAACCTCGTTAGTTCACTTTCACACTCCGGCTGCGCTGCTCTGACCGTTGGCCGTTACGAGGCAGAGAACTCTCGTCATCTGATTGGCCGACGCAGCCTCGACTCCGCCCCCGGTGCCCGCCCACACTCTGTTCCTAAGGTTCCCGGCGCCCTCATTGGATACTGTAAACTTCTCCGGCTGCGATTTCCATTGGCTCGCGCCGCACGTCAGTCACGCCTAGTTTGACAAGCGGGCCCGCCCCCTGGCTCGTCCACCGGCGCCTATTGGCTACTGTATCCTCCGTCGGGCTCTGATTGGCCGGGCTGCGCCAGCTGTTAGTGGTTCATTCACCATTTTGTGACTGTAGTGGGGAAAAAAAGGGACGCGGATAGTTTTTTTCACTCCGTGTCTGGAGTTCTTGACAGTGTGCGGGGAGAAAGGGATGTTCGAGCGGATGAACTACAAACTTAAGCCCCTTACAGCTCCTCGGACGGCCGCTGGACGCTGCTGACACTCGGGCCGGCCAGCTCAGCTGCAGTTTGCGCCGTAAACCCTTGGCTCGCCTCCTGTTTGTGTCTTTTGGGTGAGTTGTGGTTACCGACGAGCGCTGGCGACGGTCGCTTTGGTTGCTGACTCAAGTTAAAGGACAAGTTAGAGGAGGGAGGAAAAAAGCCCAAACAAGCTCGGCTGAGTGGTCTAGGAAGGAACCAGAGCGAGGAGAAGGCGGAGGGGGGCTGTGGGGGGCTTTAAACTTTGTCTCATGTTCAAACCCGGTGCTGCACGCGAGCGTACGTTAAGTTTTTTTTTTTTTATAGCCAGTTGTTTTTGTTGTTTCTTGGTTTTTTTGGAAATAAGAGGGCTCGTGCAACTTGGTGACCGCGTGCCTAAACAAGCCTACACACTGGCTACTCAAGCTCAGCATTTTTATTATTGTTTTTATTTATTTTTATATTTATATTGTTTTAAATGCATATATTTATATTTATATTTGTGTTATTGTTATTATTTTTTTTAGCTTGTGTTCACTATAATTGTGCGCAAATGGAAGAGCTGCAAAAAAATGAACTATGCCTTATCAGATTATGCCTTGCACACTTGCTCGAGCTCGACATGCAGCCATCAGCAGCAGTTTCCATGACCTGCATAGCATCATTTTTGCAACTTTACTACGTGCACGCGGTGCCGAGGGCTCGTAAGTGTGCATGCAAAAATGAGACGGACTAGTTTTACATATTTAAAGGGATTTTTTTTCCACTCTTTTAACACAAGGTCTGGAGATGGAGCCTTAAAACGTGCTGGCTTTCCCCCTCAGCCCCACTCATACGGCTTGGCCATACTATACCCGTGACATTGTGAAGGATCAGCTGTCGTTGCCTTATTTTGTTTATTTTTTATCTATTTATGCATCAGTGCATGTATGCATTGTAATGCATTCACTTGCATCTGCTCATTGCATTCACTTGCATTCAATGCAATGGAAACAAAACCTTTATTACCTTTATTAATTTTTTTGCATGCTATCCATCCTCTAAAATCCCCCCCTTGTGAGATGCATTGTAAAACATGCTGTATGCATGCTGCAGTTATCATGATGATGGCTTGTGCACTGAGCATTCCCAGTTTTCCAGTTTTGCCACTTCTTCCAGCTCCACTTTGTGCCCTTTCAGGACCTTTCTGCCCCTCTCATGATCACAGTCAGATGGACTCGGCGAAGAAGTGATACGTGTCCACGTTCTGATGGGGGCTGTTGAGTCATGGTGGTGGGAGATGTTGTGGAAAAGTGCATGCACTATTGCTGCTACGTCACGCCGTCCATACTGCCTAGGTGTCTGTACCGAAAAATGGAAACCGCAGCACGTTGAAGGTTCTAGAGTGTGGGAGAACGTTCAGAAGCAGGTTTTCGGAAGTGCCAGATTTTTGGCTCGCATGTTGTTTTTTTGCTGCTTCATGCATGTGCAGGTTTCAGCCGCTGGTGACCCAGTTTAGTCCATAATGGCTGCACGATACGGACAAAATACCAGCATTGCGATTTTTCTGCTGCATATTGCGATTTTGCGATACACCTTGCGATATATTACCAAAACAAAAAACATAGTTCTGGATTATTTTTGACATTTTTCATCAGATTACATGAATGCCCTAATTCATTAGGAACACTAATCTGGGGCTGTGATTGGTCAGCATGTTCTGCATATGTAGGTTGCGCAATATCATCATCTGTTAATAGGTCGCAATGTTGACCTTTGCAATACTGACATCGCATAAGGCTGCAACATGCAAATATTAGTACCCAGATGTTGTGTGGGTGTTCAGATAAATCAAAGGATTCATGTGATGCAAGAACCGTAAACAATTTTGGTCAAACATACTGCAGGCCAGTCTTTCACTAATGCGATTCCAATATATTTGAAGGCATTGTGCAATTGCATTACAATTGCAATATGCAATATTTTGCACATATAGTGCCTCTCCACCCAGAATGCCTTAATTCCTCAACTAAACATACTCGTGCTGTTGCTGGGGTGACAGTCAGCTCCATTTTAATCCTGGTAAATTTTTTAAATAGGCAATATTTGTTGGCGATAGATGCAAAAATGCAATATCACAGTACTTTTTTATGGTGCATCTATAACGATATTTAGTTTTTCTCAGGTTTGAACAGCTGGAACTGAGAAAAAAGGGCCACATTTTAAAAAAGTACTATAAAAAACTAAATTTTATTAAAAATTTCACATATACACTGTGATAAATCTAGTCAAACAGGTCTACAGTGTCACTCAGAAAGCCTTTGTCACTTATTCCTTTTTTGCACAATTTAAAAACTCCACTCCTTTTGCACTGTGATCCAATATTATAATAGGCACGATCTAAAATTACTTAAAAACAACGTCTTTTATATTAGCGCCCATTAGAACCGTTTTGGAGACTTGAGGTTTTGTGCTGACAGTGACGTTCTGCTCCCTCTGCAGTGACACGTGGTTCTTTAAGCACTGACGATGTTCACCGTACACTCAGAAAATCATACAGTGACGTCATTTTTACAATAATGATAATATTGTAATATTGCAAATATCTCAACACCTAAAATGATGCAGTGTGACTTTTTCCCAGTGTTCTTCAGCCCTACACTCTTAAAAAGATGGTTCTTCAAGGGTTCTTCAGTAAAGAAAATGGATTGAACCTTATACAATACATTCTCCATCAGTCTGAAGAACCATTTCATGATGTAAGGAACCACACTCTTAAAAAAGATGGTTCTTCATGGGTTCTTCAGCAAAGAAAATGGTTCATTTGAATACTCAAAGAACCCTTTGCATGATTAAAGGGTTCTTTGCATCATGAAAGTGTTCTTCAGATTGGTGGTGTGTTGTCTGCGGTTCTATATAGAATCTTTTTCAAAATGGCTCTATACAGCACCAAAAACTGTTCTTGTAATGTTATGATGTCAAGCTTGTCACAATAGCAGAACCCTTTTGGGTGCTATATAGAACCCTTTTCAAAAAGGTTCTAGATAGAAGCGTATACAACACATTTTCCATCAATTTGAAGAACTTTTTTGAAAAGAGTTCTGTATAGCAACTAAATAGGGTTCTTGTACTGTTACGATGTCAAGCTTGTCACAATAGCAGAACCCTTTTGGGTGCTATATAGAACCGTATACAACATATTCTTCATCAATCTTAAGAACTTCTTTGATAAAGGTTCTATATGGCATCCAAAAGGGTTCTTGTATGGTTTTGATGTCAAGCTTGTCACAATAGCAGAACCCTTTTGGGTGCTATATAGAACCCGTTTAAAAAAGGCTCATATAGAACTGTGAATGTTCATGGTTCTATATAGAACCATTTTCTTTATTGAAGAACCCTTGAAGAACCATCTTTTTGTGTACAGCTCTCAGTACAAAACCCTGCCTACTGTGATGTCAGTATTGCAAAGGCCAGTATTGCGATAACGGTTAACAAACGATATATCGTGCAGTAAACTTGGCCCAATCAGTGATTATTGAACATCATGTTAATGATATGATAATAATATGCAAATTATAGTTTTTTCAATGCCTTTTTTTATTGCTTCATCCTCATTTGACCATCGTAATCTGATTAGATCAGAAACGTGTGCAGTAAAAAAGCCCACTTAATTGTACACTCTCACAAAGCTTGGTTCTTCAAGGGTTCTTTAGTAAAGTAAATGGTTCTATATAGAACCATGAACACTCAGAACCCTTTGCATGATTAAAGGGTTCTTTTCATTGTGAAAGCATTTTTCGATGGCGAATGAGCTGTATATGGTTTTATATAGAACCCTTTTGAAAAGGGTTCTGTATAGCACCAAAAAAGGTTCCTCTATTGTTATGATGTCAAACTTTTAACAATAGAAGAACCCTTTTTGGTGCCGTATAGAACCATATACAGCACATTCTCCATCAATCTGAAGCATTTCACGATGCAAAGAACACTTTTATCATGGAAAGTGTTCTTTGAGTGTTTATTTTTCTATATAGAACCATTTTCTTTACTAAAGAACCCTTGAAAATGATAATTTTCAAGTGTCTAGAACCATTAACACTCAAAAACCCATTTGCATGTTTACATGGTTCTTTTCATGGTGAAATGGTTCTTCAGATTGATGGAGAAGGCATTGTATATGGTTCTACATAGCACCAAAACGGGTTCTTCTATTGTTCCAAGCTTGAAGTGGTTCTTTGAGTGTTCATGGTTCTATATAGATCCATTTTCTTAACTAAAGAACCCTTGAAGAATCATAATTTTCAAGTGTATAGGACTGGTAACACTCAAAGAAGCATTTGCATGTTTAAATGGTTCTTTTCATAGTGAAATCGTTCTTCATACCGAGGGAGAATGTGTTGTATATGGTTCTGTTTAGCACCGAAAGGGGTTCTTCTATTGTTACAAGCTTGAAATGGTTCTTTGAGTGTTCATAGCATTTATCTAAGAACGCCTGAAGTACTAAAGAGCTTCTGGCTTGACGTTTGAATCCTGAACGTAGTCTGAACTGAACTCAGTTGTTGTCGCAATTTTCGCAATTTGAAAGAGTGCAATTTTCAAAACCGCAGGAGCTGCGATTTTAATTATATTAATCATATCTACGTTTTTCAGCATTACAAATGTAACCAAATAGTGCACTACAGGCACAACTGACACACTACATCCAGCATTCAAGCCTGAGTAAAGGAGGGAAAAAAGGCCTGAAGCTTTCTTTCTACCTTGGTAGAAAAAAAATCGCAATATCATTCAGAAAAATCGCATTTTTCCCAAATCTTTCAGCCCTAGTTGTGGTTGTGATACACAGCACATGGGTGTTTGGTTGCTTCTGATTATTCAGGCTTATCTACAGGCAGTTCATCTACATTGTTTATAATTTAGGCCGCAATAAAAACTGCAGCTCTTGCGATTTGGAAACTCTTCTAAATAGCGATTTCGCTCATCTCTCAGCTCCAGTCGGAGGTTGATATCTAGTGAGGAAAGGGATTTTTTGTGGAGCGCCCATGCGTGCCCCAATGAAGCACACACCACTGCACTACTGCAGCCCACTGCGCCCTACCCAGTGCCCAAAAATGCATTT